TCTCATATATGGTAGATAAATGTAAATTAGGACACTAGGGCAAGGTTTAAAATTGCATAAATAAGCCTCAACGCATTTTTCGTCTGTGAGGCAAGGCGTAAGCCTCGAGGCAGTGTGAAGCATAAGCCTCACAGACGAAGAATTGCGTAAATGAGAATTTAAGGGTTTTAACAAGTAAATAATAGAAAGATTCTATAATACAATAAAAACATCTAAATAACAAGTAAAATTAGTGGAAAGTAAAAAAAAAGATGCAATAAAATCATGTTCCAAAGTACAGAACCCCAAAATATTAGTCTATCAAAACTCCCAAAATACAAGTAAGAAAGAACATATTAAATCAAATCATGTCCCATCACTAAATGGGTCTTTAAGGGAATATTCTTCTACAACTGTATCTATGAATGTCATATCTTCATCATCTTCAATGCGACTCACTTTTCTCTTCCCTATTCAATAAGAATGATCATTATCATGTTACTTTCCAACTTGATATAAATATAATGTAATAGCATATAAGAAGTTATGAAATACCTTTATTTGGTTGTTGTGCTACAGAACTAGTGGATGTGTGTGGTGTGGTACTAGTGGATGTGTCCACTTGATCTACTTCGACCCTCAACACATCCACACTTAGATCCTCTAGTTGCAAGTATGATAATGACAAATCTGTCTCATCATCTATAAATCACTAATTATCAGATGCCACATCATCACACACCAATGGGTCTTCATCATTCTTTAACCCTTTGTTCCTCAACCTCTTGTTGTGCATAATATACACAAGGAAGTTCATTATGAGTGTTGAAAGTCGATTTCTTCTCTTTGTTTGCACTTGACTATATATACTCCAATTTCGCTCACACACAGAAGAAGAACAAGGCCCAAAACTCTAACATCAAAACTCTATAACTCAGGGGTGGAATCACCAAATTGGATCCACCATTCAACTATTTTCAAGAAGAAAAATGATAATCAAAACATATTAAAGTGTTATGCATTTACAAAAATAAGCATACCTAAAGACTGTTTGGCAATAGTTGATTTTTCTGCTTGCAGACCAAAAAGTCCCTCCCTATTTCGAAATAGAACAAGTTGTAAATTTGCAAGTTCCCTAACGGTCTGGTCCAGTATTAGTCGTTCCATGCAATAATACAAGTCAAGCTTCACCTCCGGGTTTGAGGATTTCCTCTCTGAATATTAAAATTGAAGATTGAGATAATACGCCGCTGCATGTAAATGACGGTGTAATTGGACCTCCCACCGAGCATCAATGATATCCCAAATCCCTCTACAACTTGCCTCCTCTCCTCCCAAGTTATGTGTAATCAACTCCTTCGCCTCATCCATAGCATTATAAATAAAACCCAATGCTAGTTTCTTCTCAGCATCCACTAAACATAGAACTTGTACCAAGGGTCTCATGCTCAATATGGCATAAGTCACAGTAGCCTAAAATTTATCATTTAGAATTACCCTTTGTATTTTCTTCCCCTCAATTTTCTTCCCCCACACAGAATTAAGTCATTCTGTTGATGTAAACATTGTTTCAAGAGGTTGTCTCACATAAAGCAGGCACTACAGTGCAAATAAGATGTGGAAAACCTGTAAAATAAATTTGCAATATGAATTGAAAATGATTTGAAGTGAACAAATGTAATAACGAACCTAATGATTTTAAGGTGAATGATTTCCTTCTTTGAAAACTTTCTCATTAAGGCTAAAACCCATGAGTAGTTGTATACGAACTTTGTGATCTTCTTTGCCCTAGAAAGAGCGCTCGTATGTTGAGGTAAATCACTAAGTTCCTCTAATATGATATCAATACAATGTGCTGCGCAGGGGGTCCAATATAGATGTTTCCTCTTCTCCATCAACATCTGACCAGCTGCTTTGTATGCACTGGCATTGTCGGTGACCACCTAAATAACCAATTGCTCCCCAATCTCCTCAATAACCCCATAGAGTAAATTAAAAATGAATTCAACATTTTTAACCTCATCTGAAAGTTCAACTGATCGTAAAAACACCGTGACATAGGGATTGTTGGTAAGGATATTAATCAAGCTCGTGCTCTTCATGTCAGACCATCAATCTGACATAATGGTAACACCAATCTCAATCCATGTCCATTTAATCTCACCAATGCTCTGCTCTGTGTTCTGTTGTTCCTCCTTCAAAATCCATGTTCGCAACTCATACATGGAAGGTGCCTTCAACCTTCTCCCATACAATCCTACATATCGCATCATATTGAAGTAGGCCAGCGACGTCACAACATTAAATGGTATGGCATTCACAAAAAAAAATCTGCCAATAATCATGCAAACCTGCCGTCAACCCTCTCTAGAACCAGACGCAGGCATCCTCTGTGCTTGTCCTCCATCCTCTCATGGATTAGTCATATACTAATCCATAGGACCTCGTGCACCCATATTATGTATAGTGGAGGAAGATCCCTTTTCACTCTCGCTCCCAAAGCACCATGTTTGACCCTTTCATCAAATTGATCCTGTTGTAAATATTTGGCCGTCGTACTCTTTTTCATATAAGTTGTAATTTCTTCCTTCACGTTATCTGGAATATTCGCACAAGGTTCTACATTCTTATGTGAGGCGAAAAAGTATTCCTTTATGCGAGGTACTCCTCCCTTCACCACCTTATCACAAAAAATCTATTTTAAATACACATATGTCTTCTCGCCACCTTCTACAACAATTTGCACAATGTATTTCAAAGAAGGGTAATGCCGTAATGATGTATTTGTTTTTTCCATGCCTCTAACCATGTTTCCTAATGCAAAAATGCGAAAACAAACAAAAAATCTCAAAAAACTTCAAACCCTAGATTTTCTTTCACTTGAAAATCTTTCGTTGAACTAAAAAAATACCTAAAATCATTTGTGGACTTCTCCTAGAGGGAGACTGAACACTTCAAGCTCGCTGGAGTGAGACGACGCCGGCGGGAGAGGCGGCAGGAAGGAAGACCGAGCGGACTTGCGGAAGAGCTTGCGGGCTGCGGGTTTTTTTCCTGCTCGTTTTGGGTAGACTACTATGAGAGGGGAGGAAGAAGTCTTATTTCATTTAGACTTAAGTGTGTGGTTCTCAGTTACTAGAGGAGTGTGCCTCACACTGAATTGTGCAATTTAGCCTCAGATGCGTGCCTCACAGTAAAAGAGGCTAAGCCTCATGAGGAACCAAAATTCTTAAGAAATAAGGCAATTTTGCCCAGAATTGCGTAGAGGCGCGCCTCAAGCGCGCCTCTGATTGCACAATTTTAAACTATGCACTAGGGTACTAATCAGTCGAATAGACTATTGGATCGTGGGTACCCTCCACTCGATTGGATCAAAATTAATGTAGATGCATCCTTGTTGCAATCATATAAAGCTGGAATTAGAGGTCTCGTTTGTGACAGTAAAGGGAGATTTCTACTTGCTTACAGACATTCTTGTATTAGTAGCTTAGACTAGAAGCCATTAGAGTGCTCTTAGCCTTTACTTGCTTTAAATAATTTAAGTTATAATAAATGGATGTTAAAAGTTCTTTCTTAAATGGGGTACTTAAAGAGGATGTATATGTTGAGCAAATCCCAAGTTTTGAGAACTCAAAATTCCCTAATTTTGTATTCAAATTAAAGAAGGCTTTATATGGGTTGAAGCAAGCATCTAAATCCTTGAATGAAAGACTGAGCACATTTCTTCTACATGATTCCTTTGTTAAGGATAGTGTAGACACCACACTCTTCCTAAAGAATAAATGAAAAGACCTACTCATAGTGCAAATCCATATTGATTATATACTGTTTGGATTTATGAATAAAAATATATGCGATAAATTCTCAAAAACTATGAGTGAGGAGTTTGAGATGAGCATGATGGTAGAGCTAAACGACTTTCATATATTTAGTGTGAAGTAGAAGGATGATTGAGCGTTCGTAAGTCAGTCAAATTATACCAAGGACATCCTTAAGAAATATTGAATGTATAATGCTAAGGTAATAAACACTCTCATGAGCTCTACTATTCAGTTTGATAAGGACCAAAATGGAAAATAAGTTAATAAATAAAAGTACAAAAGAATAATTGGATCACTCCTTCACTTAACTACTACTATATTTGATATCTTGTTTAGTGTTTGTATTTGTTCTAGATTTCTGGCAGATCTCAGAGAATCTCACATGACTACTACTAAAAGAATTATTAGATAATTGCTTGGAACCCAAAACTTAAAAATCCAATATGCTAGACATAATAATTTCTTTGAGATCATAGGATATTCTAATTCAGACTTTATAGGTTGTAGGGTTAATAAAAAGAGCACTGGCATGAGGAAGGGGACTCTAATTCAAGATTTTTCCATAATTTTGCATCAGCACGTAGGAATGCAAATTGGATAAGGCAAGTTAAGGATGCCAATAACACTCTGGTGGAAGAAGATAATCAAATTGAACAAGTCTTTTTGCAGTTCTTTGAGAAGAAATGGAAGTATATAAATTGTGATTTGACTGTGTGGTCGTATCCTTCAGAAAAATAGACGATGAGTGCTTTGAATGCAGCTAACTTGGGTACAGATTTTACTATGGAGGAGTGCAGAATCTCTATTTTTCAGCAAGGAAACAATAAGTCTCTGGGACTTGATGGTGTGACGTCTTCCTTTTTCAAGTGCTACTGGAATTTAGTATGTGAGACCACTTGGAATGCAATCAAGAAATTCCTTAAATCTGGAGTAATGCATAAGGAATGGAAAGATACGCTCATTGTCTTACTTCCTAAAGTTAAGAATCCAGTTGTGCTTGCTAGTTGTAGACCTATCAGTCTATGTCAAAGAACCTATAAGATTGTGGCTACTATGTTGGTTAACATATTGAAGACCTGTTTGCCCAGGATGATTTCTGAAGAGCAGATTGCATTCAATCTAGGGAGATCAATATCTGAGCATTGTTTGTTGGCGTAGGAGATTTTCAATAAACTTAAAGTGTCAAGAAATAAACAGGGGCTGATGGCTGTGAAACTTGACATGGAGCAGGCGTATACCAGTATGGGATGGCCAACCTTGAATCATATTCTCAACTGGTATGGCTTCCCCTCTGCCTTTTTCTAAATTACTAATGGAATGTGTGGTAAATGCAAGGTTTTCTATTATCCTAAATGGGAAATACACGAAGTGGATTGATGCTCACTGTGGATTCAAGCAAGGCTTTCCTCTCTCACCTTATATTTTCATTTTGTGCTCTCAATTATTATCTTATGCAATTGAGCAAAGGGGCCATGAGTTGGGTGTTCAAGTGTCTCCTAGAGGACTAAGGATCTCACATCTTCTTTATGAAGATGATATGCTGCTTTTCTCTCGGGCTACCACTTCTTTGGCACGTTTATTAAAATGCATTGTGGAGGATTTTTATAGTTGGATGGGCTAAAGGGTGAATGTTAATAAGTCCCAGGTTATTTTTGGTAAGATTGTGAAGAGGTCTCATAAGAATAAGGTGGCTAGTATTCTCGGTTTCTGGGTGGTTAAAGAATTGCATTACTTGGGCATTAAGATTTCTTTACAGAGAATGGGTGTTGCTGACTTTCAGGATCTTTTAAGCCATGTCACGGACAGATTAAAAGTTTGGGGAAAGAAGTCTCTGACCTTGGGAGGTAAAATTACACTTATCAAAACCTCTTTGCTTTCATTACCGAACTTTGCAATTACTCACTACCCGGTGCCAAAGAGGGTGATTCATGAGGTGGAGAAGCTATGTAGGAAGTTTATTTGGCATAAACAAAATGGGAAACCTGGGTTGCACTATGCCGCTTGGGAGGATATATGTAGTCCAACTACGGCAGGTGGTTTGGGTCTTCAGTCTATCACAACCAAAGTGGTACTCTACGGGCAAGGTTAGCCTGGAACTTTATCCAAAAACTAGAATCTTTACTGCACCGAACGTTCAAGGCTAAGTTTGGTAACAATGTCCTAAACAACAATTGCTCGAAAGGATCTTCTAGTGCTTGTAAAATATTAAATGATGGAGTCAAACACTTGAAACCCATTGTGAGATGGAAAGTGGGAAGAGGAGATAAATTGGGGACCCCTTCCCCTATTTTTCAATAAATGTCATCTATTGCATTTTGGAATTGTAGGGGAGCAAGAAAGAAAAGTATTTCTCTATATCTTAGGGAATTTATTAAACTTCATGGTGTTTTATTCTTGGGTTTGGTAGAAACCAAGTTGACTTCAATTGATAGAAGTGAAGTCAATTTAATGATTGTGGATGGATGGGATTTTATTTATCTTCCATCAGTTGGGCTGTCTGGAGACATTCTTATTCAAAATTAGATGATTTTTCTGTTATTGACTCTTCTTCTAAAGTAGTTATTGGTGATCTTGAGTTTTATAATAAAGGAACATGGAGGGTAGCTTCAGTTTATGGAAGTAAAAAATTTCATAAAAGAAGAGACCTTTGGGAGTTGTTGGATAAATATTCTACTGTAGAAGTTTCTATGGCGATAGGTGGTGATTTCAATTGCTTGCTTTCCAAGGAGGATAAAAGAGGGGGAAGAAGATTTTTGTTTTCCCAAGAGTCGAAGGAGATGAAGATGTTTACTAAACAATGATTTTCATGAGGTGAGTTTTATTGGCCCTAAATTTATTTGGTGCAATAACAAAATTGGTGGAGCAAGGATTCTTGAAAGATTAGATATATGCTTTATCAATTAAAATGCTTTGAGCTCTTCCCATCGTATGGTGGTGAGACATTTGATTAGAGTGGCATCGGACCATTGTCCAATACTTTTAAATATTCTTGATTTCAGTCCAGACACAAAAAGAAACATTAAGTTTGAGGACATTTGGGCTTCATATCCGGCCTCTATTGTCGTGGTGAGGAAGGAGTGGAACAAGGCTTATCAGGGGAGCAGTTTAAATATTCTCAACATCAAGTTTAGAAGATCCTTGAAGTCATTATTTTTCTGGAGTAAAGCTAAGTTAAAGAATCTTAATCAACTTAAGGAATGCCTTTTGAAAGAGATTCTAAATCTTCAAACTAAGAAATCTATCTTTGGTTCCCGCTCGAAAATTGATTGTTGGAGTCTTAAAGCTAAAGTAAATGAATTGAATTCAACTATGGCTCGCTTGAACTCTTGGGGGAATCAAAGAGCAAAGGTGAAGTGGTTAGTAGAGGGAGATAGCAACTCAAAAAATTTCCACTCCTATGCTAGTGCAAGGAGGAATTCTAACAGTATTGCCAAAGTGAAGGATGAGAATGGTTTTTGGTAGAAGATCAAAAACTGATTGAAGCAATTTTTTTCAGGTTTTTTGAGAAAAAATGGGATTTCTGGAACTTTAATTTGGATGGTTGGCTGCCAACATTGAACTATCTAAATAATGATGACATTTGTTTTTTGGAAAGTTATTTATCTATTGAGGAGGTGGAGTTGGTGTTAAAGCAAACGTGAGGAAGCATTTCTCCTGGCAAGGATTGGGTTACCTATTCGTTTATTAAAGCTTTTTTTTTTTTTTGAAGAAGAAGAAGAAGAAGAAATGCAATAGATTGCATTGACAAAAAGAAATAACAACCTAATATAATCTTAAAAAAAGAAAAGAAAAACTAATGGTACCTTGATCCAAAAGAAAGAAGGAACCTTATTGAAAGCATATTTGTTTAAAATAAACTTATTGTAATTGAAATGAGACCCACTATTTCCCATTTTAAAACCCTTGAGATGCAGGGGATACCAAAGTATTAAACAACCCGAAGGTTGGTTAGTATCCCAGAGTTCCCAACTGGTTAAAAAATAGGATCTAGTATCGACCCCATAATCAATTAGAAAAAGTTTAAAAAATAAACAAAAGGCTAAAGGAAAAACAAAACTACAACAAAAAACAAGAAGGAAAATACAATTTGCTACTGACATCCACATAACACTTAAGAATACTACCAAAAGGTATTTCAAAAGCCTTATCGAACTTTCAAATCTGTAATCAAAAGCAGGTTTTCTAACGAAATCCTTGATCAATAGCTTCATCTTCAAGAAACTTTGTACTTTGTGGAAAGCAAAGAAAAAACCAGCAAGCATCTTTAACGATTTAAGATAGAAGAACCTCTCACACTGTTCTTCATACTGAGATCAGCCTTTCTTCTTCTAGGTAGATCCTTCACCGGTCCTAAGGCTTTTGTTTCTTTGAACCATCTATGCTTAGAACCTGAATAATGATTCAAATTAATAGATCCGGATTTCCCTTTTACTAATACCGTCTTTTTAAAATTCAGGTTAACTTCCGAAGAGGGAGTAACAACTTCAGGAAATTCCAGAATATTAAATCCATTTGAAGTTTCCAAAACAATAGGAGCTTCCATGGAAATAGTTGAAGTAAGAGCTTCAGCTGCCGTTTCTGTTTTAACGGCTTCCTCAACTCCTTCCTAAATTTGTGAAAATTTGAGTTCAAATTTTGAAGCTTCCACCGGTTCAGCAGCTAACTTTGACACATCATTAACAAGAATCTCACCGTCTTCCATATTATTAGCATTTTTGAATTCATGTTTCCACCTTGCACTCTAACATTCAATTCATTACAAAATTCTTGGGCCAACAAATATTATCGACAATAACCCTCCCCTTAGCAAAACACATTGAAAAGCAGAGATAATTTTAGGAAGAATAGAAGTTAAACGACTCAGAAGATTTAAGAAAACAGCTTATTAAAAAAGGAGCAAAAATTAATGTCTAAAATCATTCCAATTACTAATAGAGTTTCTTTTGGGGATAAGAATAATAGAAGTAGAAGTAAAATATTTTGGAATATTATGACCAGCAAAAAAATCCAAAACAATTGAATAAATATCATTACTAATAATATGTCAAGCTTTCTGAAAAAACTTAGTGGTAAAGCCATCAGGTCCATACTATGAACCATCATTTTAATTTCCTCTAAAGGAGATTTAGAGAGGGAATCATTATCATCTTGAGAGATGATATTAGGGATAATAGAGGGGTTATATATATGACAAGGAGTAAAATTTTTATTGAAATAGTTTTGAAAATGTTGAACCGCCACATTAGCAATTTCTTGAGCATCCTCAGTAACAGAGCCATCGTCACGATTGATTTTATGGATGAAGTTTTTTGCACGTTTTCTCTTAACAAAAGCATGAAAAAATTTGGTGTTATTGTCACCTTTAACAATGTGCTTTGCAACTGCTTTTTGTTTCCAAAAGGCTTCCTCTTGAGCTTGTAATTTAAAGAGACAATTTTTAGCATCCCTCAGTAAAGTTAAATTATCGTTAGAAGAAAACAATTAATAGTTAAGCTCAATAGTGTTCACATTATCTTCAACATTCAAAATATTGGTGAAAATATTTTTAAAACATTATGGTTCCATCAATTGTGAACTTGCTTAAGCCTTTAATGTTTAAACCAAAATCTCTTCATACCAAAGAAAGAGTTATTCAAATGCAAGGGGTTTTCTTGAACCAAATCCATAAAAGAGTCATGAAGCAACCTCATGTTTTGAAATCTATATTGAGGTAAAAAACTCATATATTGGGTCTTAAGACTAATTAACATAGGAAAGCGGTCAAAAAACGTTCTGTTAAGATGCTTAACAGAAATAAAATTAAATGACTTAACAAAAAAATTATTAAACAACACCCAATCCAACCATTGCCATAAATGACCACGATTCCAAGAGAATTTGTTACCATATAAGCCATTATCAACTAGATTATAATCCATAATCATATTATTAAAATCCTCCATAGAGTGATAGATAAGACTAGATCCCCCAATGCATTCTACGAGATTAGAAAGTGTTAAAATTACAACTAACCAGGAAGGGAAAACTATAGATACTCTAGAAGTTAGTAAGTTGCTCCCAAAAAACTTTCCTATTAATGCGAGAAGAGGCAGCATAAACAAATGAGGCACATCAAGATAAATTTAAAACATCAATACTAAAATGCAAAACTTAAGTGAAATCTCCAATAATATCTAGCCTTTGATGCACTGACACTTCATTTTAAGAGGGTATGGCAGAGTCGGACACATGTCGGAACACGTCCGACGCGGTGAGGACACGTGTTGGACACGTCATTAGTGTGTCCCATTTAAAAAAAAAATTAAACTGGACACGCGTGTCCGGCTATTATATAATTAAATAAATAAAAAAAACCCTAATCCCATTATTTCATATTAGCCGGTTCACGCCCGAGTCTTCATCTTCTCCTTAATCCTATATTCCTATTCGTATTCGTGGTTTTTGCGAGCGATTGAAGCGAAAGCAGTCGGCTGGAGATGACACCCTTGGTTTTTTCTTCCGGCCATATACAGTAGCTAACAAGCCATTCTCCTTAGTTTTTGGGCACAGCCGAGGGAAGCCGACGTTAAACCGCAAAAAAATTTTCAAACCTGTAAGTTGATTTCGTCATTTTTTCTCCATTCGCCATTTCTATTTATTTATCAATGATTCTGTAGATTTGTGATTAGAAGAGCATATTTTTTTAAAGTACTTTATTTGTTTTGGATTAAAATTATTCTTACAATAAAAATTTATTTATTTAATATGCTTTAATTGCGCTTTTGTTGAGCTTTAACTGCACTTTTTATGCGCTTTTATTGTGTTTTTGATACGCTTTCAATGCGCTTTTGCTGCGCTTTCACAGCACAGAAAATTTTTGTTCAGGGGGCGCTGCCCCCAGAAACCTTGCAGGGGCGTTGCTCCTTGACCTCGCGACCTGACCGGGCTGGTCGAACCCCACCAAGTAGGACTACAAACGAACCGGAACGAGCAACCGGTATCTGAGTTTCATTAGTTATGTGTTATTTAATATCAACCTTGTTCAAGTTTGTTATGTTTGTTAGCTTATTTTGTTCATTTGGTTCATTTAAATTATGATTGTTCATGTTGGTTATAGTTCAGTTCATGTTCAGTTTGTTAGGTGTATCAAGCTGTTCGCAAACATATTTACGAATTTTTTTAACTATCAAACAAATAATGGATACATATCTATGAAAAACATTTATAATAAAATAATTATCTATGTACAAAGACAATATTATTTATTTATTAATTATAGTCAAATATTATTATTTTTATCTAACTTATTCACGATTCAAAAATGAACACGAATTGAGCTTCTATCGAGCTTCTTATCAGACTTAATGTCGAGCTTGTCTACATTCAAACGATGTTGTTCCGCGAACATAAATGAGCCGAACGATTAGTGTTCAAGTTTGTTTATTTAAAATCGAGTATTTAAAATATTGTTCAAGTTTGTTTGTTTAGCTAATTAAACGATCACAACAATCTTTAATCGAACCGAAACAAGTAGCTCATTGAACGTTGGTTCGCTTCAGCCCCTACCGCGCAAGGGGAAAACCCCTTAGACCAGCATAAACTGCAAATATTTAATTGTTTTTTCCTGTTAGATAGTTCATATTACTTATGATACAAAATTTTTTAATTATTTTTTAACTTTGTTAACATTTAATTATTTTATAATATGCCCAATTATTAAGCCTTATTTTTTCTACTCACCAGTGAATTAAAAAGCAAAATGAAGCTATAAGTGTGATGGAGTGGTTAAAAAGAGATCTATAGAAACTGATAAGCCATTAGAATTCATGTTACAAGTTAGTAAAAAATTTTAGAGGGAATGTGCATTCAAATGCAATTATGTGGTGGCACTACAAGAAAATGTGTCATATATGTTTGAATGTCATTTGATAGCAAGTGGTTGCAAATGATATGCGTTTGATCAGAAAATTTCATTATGACCACTCAAGAGAACTTTCATTTTAAAGATTTATCCATTTAAGAATTGTTAGTTGTTGTGAAACTTGTTTACCTCGTAATTAATAGTTGAGAAGATCAAATAAATAAAAAAATGCTCTTAAACTATGGTATAGTGAGAATTGGTCTTGCAATCGAAAAATAATATTGGGAAGGCAGAGATATAAAGGAACAGATCTAGATATTTTGTGGGATAATGTAGATTACATTTTGACTTTCATTGATCTAATTATGACATTTGAGAGAGATGACAAAGATAAATCATGCATACATTTAATTTAGAGATGTGAAACCTATATTAATAAAAATGAAAAATCATATACAGACATAAAAGAAAATCAACATAATGAAGACTCAAATTTTTGAGTAATTGTCTATACATTCTTGAGGATGATTGGACCAAAAGCAACACACATCTGCATTATTGGCCCTTCATTAATCTAAGTACATTTGTATTCATCTATTAAATATTAAATTCCTGTGATAAAATGATAATTTATTATCTTTGTATTATTTGAAGATTCAGTAAAAAAAAAACTTCAGAAAGACCCTCAACATGTTTAGTACACAAGAGCAAATACAATTCTTCTAAAACTTGTTAGGAGAGAACTATCACATTTAACAATAATGTTGGAATCATCAAAACTACATAAGTTGCAAAATATAAAGCATGCAAATACAATTATCTTAACATCTCCCTTTTTCAATATATCTATTGTTTGTATGATTCAAATTAACCAATCTCCTAAACCCCCTGAATTGATTTATAGGAGGCATTTGAACCATAAAACACATTTTTTGTTTTCAAAAAATTAATAACAAACTACAAGACAATACCACACAAATCAAAAACTACAAACACAATAATTCTCTCCTTTTGAACAACAAAAGTGAAGAGAAAGACGAAAAATATAATAATTGTATGAATTCATTTGAAAACTTTAATCTAATATGGTGATTGACATAAGGTATGCAATTTAAAACTAAAATATTAGTCAATTAAGAATTCTGAAATTTAAGATGAGTGATATAACATTGTAAGTAAGAAGAATTTATCAAAAATATGTCAATTTAGACATTCGAATATAGAAAATCTTACAAGAAGATGTAAAAAAATTATATTTCAAAGTTCAATAAAATAAATGAAATATAGATCAATTTGAATTAAGAGATTGAAGAGAATTTGGAAAGAAAGAGAATTTACATGTGGCGCTTTGCGCATCATTTTCAAAATTTTGGGCCACTTTTGTTGCATATCTTTTGATATTGGGTAATTTTGTGCTATCTTTTCATATGCGAACCTTTGCGTATTCTGTTAATTTTGTACTCTTTGTATATATTTCAAGAGTAATTGAGACAAATCTTTCCAAAATCAATAATCCAATTTTCAAATATTTCTAAAGTGCATAAATACCTTGAGCATAGAAATATAAAATAAAAACATCTAAATTACAATAATATATTAACTTTTATATAGTCTAAATGAATACAAATTTAAATTTTAATTTATTACAAGTTATAAAATTTTTAAATTTAGAAAGACTAGATTTTCTAATGTAAATGTCATATACAATTTAATTTAAGCACTATTAAGTTAAATAAGAACTTAATTATTAAAAATTAACCACATTCCAAAAACAAACCAAATTTGATTAAGTACAACATGCATTGATATTAATGAAGGATTACAAATTCATTTCAATAATCAAAAATAAAAAGTAAGACAAACATAAAACAACACTGGAATAAAAAATGACATAAAAAACTTTAAAACTCACTAGTACAACAAAAACAAGAGTTCATCTCTCATTCTCTACTGTTTTGGAGAGGAGAATGCCGCCAAAAAAGTTGAAGTGAGGGGTCAACAACATAACATTGGATTAATTTCATGTACTTCATTTCTGATGCTACCAATGTATGTTGCTGCTGCACAAAGTTGAGCATCATTGATCATATCTTTGATCAACATGAGTCTCTAATCTATCAAATATTTCAATCAGATTCTGTAATCTGACTGAGGTGCAAAGTTTGCACGCCTTCTTCTATGAAGCACTGGCTTGTGCTTTTCTTTTTCTTTTTTCTCCTTAAAAGCAATCTGAAGAAGCATCATTACTTATCTGGCTCTTCGTATTCATCATCAGGGATCACTAAGTTGTATTTTTTTCCAAATATGTAACTAAGTGTCATAAGGATTTCCTTTTCTCTTCTGTTCTGCATGTCCTATTTCGAAGCCCATAGAGTGATCTATGATAAATTGGCTTAGTCGAAAGTGATGCATTCCATAATCAAAAAGGTTAGAACAGAAAGGAGAGGGTAAATATTGATACTCTATCACCATTTAGGAATGATTGAGATCGAAGGATATGCTGGATGATTAGGCATTTTTGGTCATACACAGAACTCTGCGACATGAATAGTTAAGACCACTTTCTCTAATATACCCTATGACATTATCCATTGAAATTGGTTTCAGTCATTAGGGTGTGTCTATATCCTTCGTTCTTAATTCAAAAAGGCACCAATGTCGTGCTTGTGATTTCAACTTTTTTTAAAAAAAAAAGAACTTATGCAGGATGGTCGGATTAAAACTCATGTTGCTAGAAGTAGAGAAAAGTTTGTTAGTGTAAGGTGGAACAAGAAGAATGAAGATGTAATGGGTGAGGCAAAAATTGCATTTACCTTAAAGTGTATCTCGCTTGAATCAGATGCGAGGAGGAGTTATTTTGGCAAGGCAAACGAGAAAGGATCCTCATTTGCTTTTGACAGGAAGTTTTCAGAGGCATTCCTGTGGGTTTCTTTGTCAACATACTTTTGTCTCTTGCTTGAGAGGCCATTATCGATTTGAAGTCGAAAGGATGAAGGGAAGTTTGGAGATGTATGTTTGAGTTAGAAAGCCTTCATATTAAAAAAACGATACGTTTGTCCTGGACGAAAACGGTTCGTCCTGGACGAAATCATCGTTCGTTGGACGAAAACATTTGTACAGAGATCATATTCGTCCAAAATATAACGCTTTGTAATCAACACAATTTACGATGGCTCTTCGTACAGGCTTTTTGACTTGACCGATCGTTAACACGAACAAAAGTTCTGAATTGTTCTAGTCACAGTGCAAATACAATTCTTCATCTCAGGTTGTGAGTGTTCACTCCTGATCCTTCACCTTTAGTGGCAATATTTTCTCCTTTCGGGTTCACTGCATTAACTTTCTTTGACTACTCTTGCTATAAGCAATAGTGAACCAAGAAGAATGTCAATAGAGTAAATGTTAAGACTTTAGACTCTGTAATTGCAGTAATTTTAGCATCATAAGCAGTAGGTAAAGCATCGTTAGATTTTATTAACCATTTCAGCATTAATTAATTCACCTACAATGCATGCAAAGAAAGTGACAATTCGTGAATCTGTGAAATGTCAGAGATAGATTCATTAGGTTTCATGCGAAACAATTCATAGTCATGTAATAAGATATTGAGTCTTGATTGCTTAACCTCATTTGTCCTTCATAAGTTATACAAGAGTCTATCCCATATATCCTTTCCACTTTACAATATAAAGAAACCCGCATGTAGTCTTCAGATTTTAAGCACAAAAGAAACTATTTAGACATTTGACATTTAATTGGCTATCCGTTCCTTCTATAGTCCAATCTCAAAAGGTTGTTCTACCATAACTCCATCAACTATCTAGTTGGTTTGTGTAGCCATCGCTAGCATCCACATCGCATAATCAAGTGACGTAAGAAAGTAGACATGCGTGTTTTTAAAAATCAAAAGAGAATATGTTGAAACAGTGGAGGTCAGTGATAGAGTAACCTCAGGTGTGTTTCGGTTTTCAAATGTAGCATGCTACGTTAATCAAAAAGTAGTTCACTTATGATTTTTAAAATGAAGCTCTGATAACACTTGTTGGAGTCTATATATAGATTGTTAAACCTAAGTAATCCAGAGCATACCAAGAGGG